GTTTTTATTTTTTGGTGCTGGTGATTGAATCCAAGGCATCACACTCATGCATGCTATATACCCTTAACACCCCAATCTCCCATATTTAAACAAAATCAGATATTTACCTGATAGAGAACTGGCCAGGCTTCCTCTTCGTAACTTACAGTCATCCTGACTAAGTTGTCTCTGGAGTTTAGCTTTTCCGGTTGATGAAAATATGTCAGGATTACTGAGCTTCCTGAAGAGCAGAGGACTAAGTCCAGTTACCACATCCTTCAAAAAGAAAAGAAGAAAACAGAAGTCTTTAGTATCTTTCCTAAAGTATAAGAACTTTATATTTAATATCTCTACAATATTCATTATGGTTAAAAAATATAAAAATATTTTATATTTCCCATTCAATAGCCATCCATGATAGTTAATTGTGTCAACTTGAAAAAGAAAAGCATAGCAGATTGGTTTAGCATAGTTCTGGATATGTCTGGATGACTGACTTACTGAAGAGGGAAGATCCACCCCGGGTGTGGGTGGCACCAACTAGTAAGTTTGTAGCCTGGATGGAATGAAAAAGAAAAGGATAATCATGCTGTTTCTTTGGGAGCTCCAATCTTCCTCATTGCTTTCTATGTCAGTATCAGCCTTCCAGCACACACACTTCAGCTTCCCAATACAAACCGGCATACTAAATGCTGCAGGGAGTTTCAGGCCTTTGCCTTTTTACTTCTTCCCCCAGCTCTCCAGCACAGACTGCCCCTTCAGCATTCTTCCAAACCTGACTCCGCAGGCAGCCACTGGAACCCTACCTTGTAAATCCTTTACATATTACATGTACATTTTATAATAAATCTGTTCCTCTAGTGAACCCTAACTGATACAATAGCTAAAGCCAGAAGCATATTTCTTAGTAAAAACCTGGTGTACATGAAAGGACCCAGGACATTGATTACAAACAGCCCTCTCCCCAAGAAGGCTTACAAGATGAAGATATTTTGATAGGATATATTTATTCATAAATATACTTCTAGTTATATTTATTTACTTACTTTTCTCCTTTATTCTCATCCTTCCTACATCCAGTAAGGAAAAGCCCCTCTTTTATTTTTGATGGATATCTCACTATGTTGCCCAGACTGGCCTTGAACTCCTGGGCTCAAAGGATCACCCACCCAGGTTTAGTTTGCTAAAAAAAAGAAAAAATCATAAAGTACAGTAACAGACCTACCTTCCTTAGTCTGTCATACAAAGTTAGCACTAGATCTAACTCTTAATTACCCCTAAATTAAAACTTAAGAGCTTTCTTTATATGCCTATAATAGGAACTAAGTCCATGTTTTCAAAAAAAATTATAAAAATACTTTGGAGAAAATATGGACAATATCAAGCATTGACAGTGTTACTCCCTTTGCCTTTATTTTAGTTTGGTCCATCCCCCGCCATCCCAGTGCCTCTTCCTCCTCGTTCAGTAAGTAATGCCCAACAGTAATCAAAAAGTAGACTTTTGGGCCAGGGATGCAGCTCAGCAGTGCAGCACCTGCCTGGTAAGCGCAAGTCCCTGAGTTCAATTCACGGTACCAAAAAAGAAAAAGAAAAAAAAAAAGGCAGTTTTTTGTTGTCGTTTTTTGCCAGTCTTAGGTATTGAACACAGGGCCTTCACGCTGAGTTACATCTCCAGCCCTTGTTGTATTTATTTTGAGACAGGGTCTCATTAAGTTGCTAAATTTAGCAGCATTTAATGGGGGGAAAAAAATCAGCCAAATGAGGTATATCTTTTTTTTTTTTTTGTACTGGGGATCTTGTGACCTTCTGCTTATGAGGCAGGCAGCAGCACCACTGAGCTAAATCCCCCTGGCCCCAGTATATCTTTTATATTTCAATGAAAGCAACTGCTATGGTTTGGATTCTTTGCTCCCAAAGAATCATGTACTAGAAGCTTAGTCCTCAATTGGTAATATTGAGAGGTGATAGAATCTTGAAGATGTGAAGCCTATTGAGAGGTAATTAGGTCACTAGAAATGCTGTGCTCAGCAGGGATTAATGTATCTCTCAAAGGACTCTGATTAATTCCCTCAAGAAAGAGTTATTGAAAAATCAGAAGTTCAAGTCGAACCAGAGCAACTTAGTGAGACCTTGTCTCAAAAAAGAAAAAAAAAGTCTGGAGATGTAGCTCAATGTAATCTCCCTGGTTCAATTCCTAGTACTGCCAAAAAGAAAAAGAGTTATTTTAAAAACATCAAGGCCAGTTCTTGAACTTCTCTGGCTGCCAGTCTCATCATGTCATCTTTCCCTCTGGTATGCTCTCCCAACATGAAGCCATAAACTTTGCTGTGATATACAGACAAGTCCCTCACCAGAGCCTAGCAAATATTTTTTGGATTTCAAAAACTGAATGACATAAGGCTTGAGTCTTTACAAAGTACCCAGCCTGAGGTATTTTGTTACAGCATTAGAAATAGATAAATACAGAAGCTATTATACACAAATGTAAACAGCACACCATACTTACTGGACATTAGAGAGACAAAATAAGCACAGGAAGAAATAACTGGCACCTATGTCACATGGGACCAAGCACATATCTCAGCAGTAGAGTGTTTAACTAACATGCAGGGGACTATGGGTTCGATCCCCATCAACAGGAACTGGTACAGGGGGGAGGGAGACCTCATTAACTGATACCCTGGAAATACTAAAAGCCACAGAGGATGGGCCGGGGATTTGGCTCAGTGGTTTCGCCGCCTGCTATGCAAACGCAAAGACCCGAGTTCGATCCCTGGTACCAAAAAAAAAAAAAATAGTTACACAAAGGAAAAAAAATGACAGTGCCCATTTCTCTGACAAAAAAAGAAAAAGGGAAAAAAAAGAAACCTCTAAGGTCATATATTATGATTGATAAGTTCATAAACATGGGAAAGTACTAATAATGGTTGATGGTGACCATCTAGAACATAATTTACAAATGCTTACAAATAAAAATGAATGGACAAAGGGGAAATTGGGGCCCTGAAACATCAAAGCAGCTGAAGTATCCAAGCAACTTCTACAGAGTCAAGAGTGAGGAAAGTAAATTGGAAGCAGTAGTTAATAATGCAAAAAGAGAAGACAGCAAGGAACACCCTATATTTCTACCATTTAGTGTGCCAAGGATGAAATGGTACCTACGGGTCAAGGAGAAACAATGGAAGGAAGTAGGGCTTGGGCACTAATTCTGATAATCCACTACACAAGGCTGACCTCTCTTTGATGTAATACAGCAAGAAGCTGGGGAGGGAGGTGTGACTTGGAAGGCAGTGAGCTATAGTAGCTATCTTATACAAAGGCAATGTAGAGGAAGATTCTATTCCAAGAATAGCTTATAAATGAGCTACATGACAGAACCAGCATTTAGATATCTGCTATAATGTATGGATGACAATCAGAGAAAGAACAACCAACCAAGAGACGACTCAGTCTACACTAATTAAGATAAACACAACCTTTTCAATCTTCTTATTCCCTACCAGACCATATCAAAGAAAAAAACACAGAAAAACCAAAGACAGGAAAAATGAGGGTGGATCATGACCTTTCTTACTCTTAGTCTCTTTTATCAAAACCTGGAAAAGGAAAGAAAATACAATTTTTATTAGATATGAAATTTAGCTTTTTAAGCAAGGGTGTCTTTTTAAGTTTTACTGAAGAATATTACTCACTGTAGAGAAGTACACATACCCAAGTATGTAACTCAATGAATTTTCACAAATTGAACATACCTATCTAACTAGCATCAAGATTAAAAGAGAGAAGATGTGAAATAGGAAGAAAAGGTCCAAAGGGGTAGACAGGGGTGGGAGGGGAAGGGGAAAGGAAAGAAGGCAAAGGAAAAATTAAGAGAAAAGAAAAAAATGGAAACAAAGTCTATGTAAATCGGGAAGGGTGGAGGAGGTAAAGGATTCACAGGTAATGGGGAAAAAATAAGAACCAAGATACATCATGTACAGGTACAAGCACCCAATGATAAATATAAATGAATTGTATACCTAAAATGTACCAATAAAAGAAATCAAGAAAAAAAATTAAAAGAGAGAGGGAGACATAATCAGGACCCCAGGAAAGATCCCTTACACTCTCTTCTAGTCACTACTCTTGAGCACCCCCAAATGATCTCCAGGCTTCTAATAGTAGAAATAACTGGACAAAGTGGGAAAAAAATTTATATGTATGGAATTATTCAGTATGAATTCAGTGTCTTGCTTCTTTCATTCAACTAAACTTATTCAGTAAACTGAATATACTCAGAAGTAATCAAAGGATAGAACTGGTGAAGTAAGTTAAGACAGAATCACACATAGTCCCCAAAAAAGAAAAGGGGCAAGAGAAGAAATTCCTTATAACTTCTTACAGTTTTCTAGTTTCCATTTCTAGTCTCTATGAGGTCCAACAAAACTCCAGGTTTTGTGGTTCAATGGGATAGCTTTGCACCTTTATAATAATCTCTTCCTTTCTTCTTAAATGAGGTCAACTGGGTTTGTATTATTTCTGCAAACAAGATTCTTAAGCAAAATAGGGAGTTACGCAGGAAAAGGCATCTAGGATGACTTCCAGGTTTCTGGCTTGTATGGTATGCTTAACAGCCAGGGAATACAGAAGAAAAAACAAATATGAACATAAAATACTGCTATGGCAATAGTAAATATTAGCATAACTACAAATTAAAGTGATTTTCCAACAACTATTAGAAGAACTATAAATGTTGAGCCCAAAAATAAATAAAAGCAAAGAAGACATGAATAGTTCTTACCTAAAAGAGTGATTCTTGAAGCATGGTCCCCAGACCAGCAGAACTGAACCTGTTATAAATGCAAATTCTTAGGCTCCACCCCAGATTTCCTAAATCAAAAATTCCAGGGGTGGGGACCAAAAAAAATCTCTTTTAACATCCCTTTAACCTAGCAGGCCCTCCAGGTGATTCTGAAGCAGGGTAAAATTTAAGAACCACAAGATTAAATCAACAACTCTCCATATGATGAAAACACACAAATGTTGATCAAGTGCGATGATTCTGACACAAATTTGAAATTGATAATAAAATATTCAATTGATAATAAAGTATTCAAAGTTTCCTTCCTAAATGAACTGAATGCCAAGTCCTACGGTCTGAATTTTATGTCTCTCTAAAATTCATACACTGAAACCCTAACTTCCAAGGTGACTGTATTAGAAGCTGGAGACTTTGAGAGGTGATTAGGTTATGAAGTACAGCCCACATCAATGGAATTAGTGCACTTATAAACAAG